GTTACATGTTAATAGAGGAGTTCAACGATAACTAGAAAGTGCTTGCGCACGAACCATGACCACGCATCCCGTAGGTCCAGCATTCTTGCCGACCAGGGTCTCGGGACTCGGCATCTTTCTGCCCTTGGGCATTTCATTGGGGTCATCAATGATCTTCCTCATGATGCCAAGCCTGCGGTTGTCATCCTCGACGCCGACGCCGACCTTGAGTTTGAAGTGATTGAAGCCTTGCGCGAGCGCCGAGCGCACGAGCCGTGCGACCTTTTCGTCGCTGTACCCGCTCCAACCGGCACTGGTTGTGTACGCGGGGTAGCCGTCGCGGAGCATCTCCTGTATCCGCTGCTGCTTGTCCGGCTCGTTAGCGCGCAGAATGGCGAGCGCCTGGCCCGGCGTCAGCGCATCTGTGATGTAGCGGAAGGGGATGACGGCGACGAACTCTTCTGGCGTGAAGGAAGAAAGCAGTTGCCATAACGGCTGGCGACGTGATCGAGCGAACAGATCCCAGATCCCGTTGACCACTGCTGCTGTCGCCAGATGGATGACGCCCGTCTCAGGGCCGAGCCTGGGTTCGAGAAAAGTCACTTGGTTGGTGAAGCACGTCGAAAAGTTGGTGGGAAAATCGAATCAGCTCACCAGCGTAGTTGAGGATCAGAAACGAGGTACGACCAAGTCTTTCCCATGTCCGAGAACATTGTCTCAAGATCTTGACCGATGAGTAAGGTGGAGACGATAGTTGTAATGGCGTCACGACAGAGCTGCCGCCGGAATGGTGATCAATAACTGTGGCGCGATGATCACTGGGGGCGAGAACCTTGTACCCACCTCATTGCCACGGCCAATCGTGAATGTCATGCCGTAGCCAGTAAGAGGTTCCTCAGTCTCTTTTCGAGCGACGCTGCTGGTAGCTGTCGTCTTAGCAGTCCCATTCGACTGTTCCAGTGGTTGGGTATGGTTGCTCGCCTGGGGTCCGGTGTACAGCTTGAGGTAGGCGGCGCTGTAATCGCACGACTTGTTCATGGCGTCCGTGCCGTCACCGGTGAGGGATGTGGGAAAGCGCACATCGTGGACGCTGAAGCCGGTGATGACCAGGCTTTCAGCAGGGCGAGTCGCAAAGACTTTCGACATGGATGCCGACGAGGTGGAAGGACGGGGTACTGTCATAATGCGAGGCACCAAGAAAAGTGCTTTGCTTGGCAAGTATCACAGGAAGCGTCGCCGCAGCGAAGGCGAAGGAATCTCGATGCAAGCGGAAAGACGGCTGCCTATATATGAATTATATGCACTTCCTGCCCTGTCGAGTGGTGCACATGCGATGCCTTTTTCCATGGCGATGATCATGTCTGCCTTGCTTTCCTTTCTTCGAACATGCAAGTCCTCATTCGCCTGTGTGGGGCTTGACAGTCCTGCGCAAAATGACGGCCACTTCCCCTTCCCCCCACGACGATTTCCCCGCCCCCACGTCGACCACGGGGGAATCAAGCTGCTTCTTTCATTCAGTTCCCCTTCAGCTCATTCTTCTTCTATGTGTGGGTGAATAGCCCTACTCGAGCCCCAGCTCGTCATGACCTACCACCTGATCATCAAGAGGTCTGTGTTTCACTCTTTTCCATATGATACATATGGAGGCTTTCCCGCACGTTGCATCTGATGGCCGACTTGTTGGCTTGAACAGGTGCTATGGCAATGCGCTCGATCCGCCTTCCGGCCAGCTTTCCCGCGGAACTGTGAAAGGGGTACAGGGAGACGCCGCAATGTCAGCCTTCCTCGCGGTGCCGTCACAGGAAGTGTCCAACGCCGAGCATATAGCTTTATCGTAAAGAGCATGCATGGCAGGTAGGCGGAATGAGGTGTATATTGAAGCTATCGTTACAAGTACATGGTATCGCATTGACGCGTGTGTATGAATGCATGCAATTGCTTAAAGCAGAAGCCAGGTTGAATCGAGTGCGATTGCAGCGCCATCGTGCAAAGTCGAGCAGCGCATAGAATCAAGCCTTCACGGGGCGATAAAAGACGGTGGTAACGTACTGAAAAGCGCAAGGAAAGTTCACAAGTCAGAAAGACCGTCTGCCTGATGCATTCGTATGCTGTCCTTACCTTGCGCTTGTATCGCGTCGTCGTGCCAACAGCGAGGACGCCGCTCTTGATTGCGCTTGCCGTGAGATGGTTAAGCACAACATGGTTCGGCGCAGGAAGCACCGAATTATCATCCACCGTGCCGCCCGCTTGCAGTGCATTCGTCGCAGGGGAAGAGTTCAAGATGACCTTCTCCAGTTGCCGCGGCAAAGTTGGGGGAATGGGCAGGCGCGGAAGGCCGTCTGCATCCCCCGCGTTCTTTGCTGATGCCTCTTCCGGTCGGCCATCTTCGGAGCCGCGCTGTTGCGCTGCTTCTTCCGCCTCTTGAGCTGCAACGAGGGATTCTGGGATCTCTCTCGTCCACGCTTCTTGCTTGTGTGAAACTTAAAAGCGTAACGCGCACACCCAGGAAACGCGATTCAGCGACATATCAATGACCCAAGGGAAGAACACCCTCACTCACCATCAAAATCAGCAAACACATCATCCAGATCGCCACGACGGAGGATCTCGGCACGCCTGGCCTCTTCCTGCAGATCGATCGTGCTTCGATGGCTGTCCAGAGCAGTCTTCCCCCTGTGTGTGCTGACTGCCATGCGACCGGTAGCAGAGCTGATACCCGCACCGGCGCCCGCGGCGTCGCCTCGGTCCGTCGCCGACATTGCATCCCCAAGCATCTCCTCACCTGGGGCACTGAGAGGGCCAGGATGCGCAGGCCCGACATTCGGAATCTCCACATAGTTGACCAGGTTCCCATCCCCATCAGAAGCAGTGGGTAGATCCTTGCTCACGCGCCAACGATCATCAACGATGAACTTAAGGCGATGCGTGCCGGGCGGCAGATGCAGGATGCACGTGTGATCACGCTTCGAGCGCCGTAGTGGGATCTTGCTGCGCCACTCGTTTGCAAATGTTCCGGTCACGAACACCTCCTTGCCACCTGCACGCCATGTGATGACGATCGGCATGAGCGGTCCATGCATGGGGCCGTGATGGTGGTGGTGGTGATGCTGATGGCCCTGCGCTTGCCCGTCCTGCGCTTGCTGCTGTCGTCCATGTGGGAATCTTTCCTTAGCTGGAGTAGACGCAGGAGAGCTGCTGGGACCGCTGGCAGCCGTCGCAGGGGTCATACCAGGCGCCAAGCCCTTCAAGGTCGCAGCAGAGCCTTTACTGCTGCTTCCGCTTCTCTCGAACCTTGTCGGAGTCTGAGGATCATGGCCCGCCAAAGCATCTTGGTGTTGATAGTCACCTTCAGGCTCAGCATTGATGACGGCAGCGTGCAAATCCTGTGCCATAAAGCCGTACACTGGCGCGGGTGCAGCCACCACTGTACCTGCAGCAAGAGGAACAGTTGCTATGGCGGTCGAACCTTCAGCATGTGCAGGCGTCGAAGCGGCGCTAACCAGGTCAGCGACCACCTCCAAAACTTTAGGTCCAGGAGGTGTTTGCAGCGCGCCAGACGTTGGGATGGACGTAACTTGCGAATTGACGTCGGCGCTGAGCATATTGTGGCCTTCCTGCTTCGCGGTTGAAGTCATCGACATAACGTGTGCATTTTGCGAGTCTCCGGGCGTGAGAGAGCGTGGACCAGAGCCAATCGCGCCTGAGGCTGGTGTAGGTGTCCTTGATCCTTCCCTCTCTTTCTCTCCGTGTGCAGCACCCGATGCCTCAACTTTGGTGTCCTCTGCGTCCAACCTCTCGGCGACCGGCTGCGCTAGTGATGCGGACTGCACTTCCGCGTTGACTCTCCCCAGTTGCTGCGCACTAATAGGGCCCACTGTAGAGCTAACTAAAGGTTGGTCCAAGAAGAACGCCGGACCAGTGTCTGGAAAGAATTGCCCTGTATTGTCGTTCGCGAGCATTGTTGGTATGTTCGCCGTGTTGGTGATTGGGAACGTATTTGAATCTTGGACGGTGGGCACGCTTGGTGTGCGGTAGAAAGCCGCGTAAGAGATCATGTGGGGCAAGATGGCGACAGTTGCCGAAGTGGAAGGTTTGCCATCGACCGAGAAGCCTGCTATCGGTACAGGCCCCATCAGCGCGCCACCTCCGAGGGCACACGCTCCATTGGCGAAGTCCACTCTGAGGACAGGGCCAAGCGCAGAAGAGGTAGGCGGTGAGGAGTGCCAGTTTGCGATCTCATCCGCTGTGGGAGCTGGGACATTCTCGGATGGAATAGCAGTTGGAATCTTGAGGTACGAGGGCAAAGCGGTGCTGATCGATCTTCCTAGTGGGTCTGTTGCGCCTTTGCCAGCAGTCAGTGTAGCGCCAGGCCCGGCGTGTGCATGGCGGTGCTGCGATGGAGAGAGAAGTCCTGAGCCTACCATGGAGTCAAATGAACCTGCACGCTGTCTGCTCGTGCTCGACTCGAGCGGCATTCCTTCCAGCCTCGAGATTGTCGAGGTACCTTGACTGCCAGAATCGTCTTCGCCAAATGCGCTCAAGTCCCCAACATCAGTGGAGAAAAGTGCACCGTGTCGGGTATCCGCGTGTGTATTTTTCGCACTGGGAGATTTACCGGCAGCGGCGGCAGCCACAGCAGCAACGGCCGACGTTGCTGTGTTGGATCCACCAGCAGTTGCCCCGGACGAAGAGCTGATGATGCTCGAACGCGAGTTTGCATCCGAGCCGCTGACCACCATCCCTTGTGCATGCATGCTGTCAGTTCCAACAACTGGACTCGACAGTGGGCTGGCGTACCTGGAAGTGGGAAAGCCAGGTGCCGCGCCAGCTGAAGGGATCGGCAGGTGCATTTGCAGCGAGGATGAGTGCGTCCCGGCATTGTTGACTGTGGCCGGCGGCAGAGCATTTGCGTTGCGATGTTGCACGTAATGGCGTCGTTGCATGATGCTGATATTCTCCTCGTAAAATCAGCATCGATGTGTGCTGACAGCAACGCTCGGGAGCAAGAGACTCACCTCGACACCTGGCCTGCCGGCGACACACTCGGTGCCGACATTCCCACGCTGTGTTGGCCTATGGGATCAGGTAGCTCGATACTCTTGGTCCTCTTGTGAGCATGGCTTGTGCCCTTGGCGGCGCCTTGGCTGGGATCCTCTAGTTGCATAGATATGACACTGGGAACGGTACCGCCCAAGACCTCGTCGCGTGAAGCAGCAGTGAGCGGGTCTCTTCTGAGCGGGCTACTGACTACAGGCTCGCCCGCGACGCCTGTCATTGCTGGTTCATGGGCGATGGCGCTGTTCTTGCGGGTCCAAAAGCCTTGAAGGGATGCACTGCGCGATCGTGTACGTGGCGGGCTGCTACCCCCGCCGCTGTTCTCTGAGGCCTGGCTCGCTTTTCGCTCCTGCTGCCCACTCGCAGCGCCATGCAATGGACTACTTTGGTCTCCCGAGCGCTGCCCACGCCGGCCCACTCCTCGCAGAGATGGGGAGCGACTGACATGCCGCGAGAGCGCGAGAGGTCCCTCCTCGCCTTGAGCAATCGGCGTCGAGCTGGTGTTGCCCATGCTTGCTGAGGGCCACAAGCTGCGGCTTGGCTGCTACAGCCTTTTCTCGACGGGTCCGTCAGGTCTCTCGCTTCCGTAGCTGTCTCTGTGCTATACATGTAACATGCTGTGCACACTGTAGACCACTCTGTCGGTTTGTATTCGGCATGAATGCACGACAATGCTCCAAATCAATGCGAAGGCCTAGCTATCCTGTGGGGTGGAGTGATTCCTGGTTTTGGCGTATGGCGCTCGTCTCATCGTCCACGGATATCTCAGCATCTCGCTTGTGTGCGACACTTCATCTTCTCTGGGTCGTCTGGGTCGTCTATGAATTGATGGATTCCAGTCACGTGATGGTTAGCGCACAACAGCAGCCAGAGCGAGCATGAATGTCCAGAGTGTGGGACAGTGCGGCCGTAGTGGCTAACAAAGGCGCGGGGTCGCGGCGACAATCAAATCGCGTCAGGAAAGATTGGGAGAGTCATCATCAACGCATTGAACACGAGACTCTCCCGACCAGACTCCATTGGGTGAGAGCTGAGAGTACTCTTTCCTCCATCGCGATGACGGATGATGAACGTCCATTCTTGTCTTTGACTTGTTCGTGCTCTCTCCATCGCGTCTATCTCCAAACGGCTCACTCATATGTTCCCGTCCCGGCGACAATACCCAAGTGGGAACCCACCCCGAGCCCGCTAGCTGCCTCTCTGCCGTCGTCACCATGTCCGGCGATATCGTCAGCTACAGCACATCTCTCCGCGCTGGAAGCTACCTCCTCATAGGCCGCCGCTCCGCAATGTGGAGGGCCTCATGATGCCATTGTGCTCTGAGTATAGGCTCCTTATTGTGGCAGCAGCACTCAAGATGCTCGAAGGTTGCGAGTTGTTCGAGGTCCTTGAAGTTGGCAAAGATTTTGTGTGGTGGGATCGATGGCGAATATCAATGCAGAAACGCTGATGACGAGGATGAGGAAAGCAGCAGCATCAGGAGCTCTCTTTGCCGCCACCTGAAACAGGTTCAGTTGGGAGCCACAGCTCGTCAGAAAAAGCGCCGCTCCCCGGCAGAACCTAGACGGGGACTGATGCGACAGCCCGAAATCGTCAGAGAAATGCGTCAGGACCTGCAGACCGTCTGAGGAAGGACTATTGAATGTGCACCGTAGCTTTTGACGACTTTATCGCCAACAGTCGAAGGGCATCCGATCCAGCGCTGCTGGAGAATTCCGATTGCTCATGCATGTAACATCGCCTTACCAACTATTCGTAGTACTTTTCGCGCCCTGTAATCTTTGCGCTCTGCGCCTTCTTCCGCATCGCCAGAGTTGCCTGCGCATCTTCTTACACAGTGTACTGGGGCTTGGGTGCAAAAGTGGAAAGATGGAGCACATGCATGGAGGTTGCATGTGTGTATGGGGTAGGTACACTTCTTTTCGCGGAACTGACGAAGATTCGATGCATAACCCTGGTGTAAGCGCAAGCTAAGGGCTGGGTCTTTGACAGCTACCCATTCCTCCTTTTCCAAACAATGGGCTGGCAAGTAGATAATGTCGCGATCAGAAATTGTCATGCTCGAGATCATCTCCGAGGAGCCTTCGGCGCACCGCTGCTCACTCCTTTGTTTTGACATAGTAATCAAGCGCAACCATGGCAGTGGTGCAGCTCTCCCAGTCGACTCAGACCGCCTCGTTACAACCTTCCTTGTCCCCGTCACCACCTGCCTTTGGTTCTCTGCACCTTCGTGCGCGGACATTGTGCGGGAACGAATCCCTGTGAACCAGGGAAGTTGGCTTGGGCGCGTCACAAGCAGCCTCACGGGCTGCAAAATTCGACACAATGTGCCGCATGGCGCCTGACGCCGTGGACGGCAGCCATCCATCTTGCTCCGCAGCTGAGCCTTCGCTCGCTTTGCGAATTTCCGCGAGCAATCAGCATGCCGAAGACGCTCGTGGCTCGAGCGTATATCAGCTCTGCTTTGGCGAACGGTATTCAATAAGGAGATCCTAGACGACAGTCTGTGCATCATCCTTATGCAGTGCGGGCTGTGTCGCCAAGTACGAGGAAAATGCACTTAAGCCACGATTCTCGAAGTCCCGGCCCTGATCCATACCTGAAGTTGGAGCAAGCGAAGTGAGATGCTTCACGGAAAAAAGCAATCATTGCATCAAGGGACGCATCTCTTGCAAGTTTCTGTGAGCCGAAAGTGTCCCTAACGTCTTCCTTCATGGCCGTGGCTTATGCGGATGGAGTGTACAAGTAGCCAAGGGAGCGCGCTGCCAGCCGTGCTCGTCTCGGCTCGCCGGAGCCACAGAGTGATGCGGAAACGCGCATGGGTCATACTGTGGAAGAGTACGCTCTCCACCGAGGCTGATCCTCGTAAGGATGTGATAAGCACGTTGCTCTTTCGTGAACGGAAGGGTTGGATCGCTTTGGGGAGGGAGGGGAGCTATTTGTGTATGTGATTTTACCCCGAAGAGAACTGTTGGCAAATGAGGTGGTGAGGGCCTCTTCTAGATCCGCACAAACTGAATGGCTTGAGCACGGAATTTTGACCGCAGCACTGCTCCACCAATAAGGCGCGTGAGGTTGGAGGCTGAGACAATGTCTGCACGTATTTCATCGTGGTCCCTCAGCTCGTGGCACATTGGGGGCCGACAAGCATCGGCTGCTATCCTCGGGTGGCAGGTGAGCGCTCTCGTATCGTTTTAGAAGGGATAGTGGGCAGGGTAGACAGATGCATGTCTTTGTCGAAGGCATTAGACCGAGCAACTGAGAAGAAACTGAAAGGGGTTCTACCTGCATAGAACTGCTTTGTCATAGGCGACTCGCCTGGTTCCCCAGGCCAAATTTCTTGCGGCAGCTGTCAGCAGGAACATTCCATCTCACTTGATGTACCCATTCCTCAGTACAAAATTCAGTCCAGCATGGCGCTAATGCTGGACAAGCCCCCACTGGAACAATGCGCAACCATTCATCTTGATGGTGGATGGCGAAGTTAGAGACGAATGACCAACATAGGAGGCTGGGATTAGATTTGGGCGATAGATTCTGAATGGACACACGGAACTCGGAACCCGCTGCCAAAATTGCAATTCCATTTTTCCTGTCGCTGGGAGAGAGGATGTTGGCAAGAGCTTGAGGCACTCATAGATCAGCATCGTACGCGGAGGTGTCCATTCTCTTCTTCGAAGGTATGGTGTCTGAAGAGCTCGTACTCTACCTATCGTTGAGCCGTCGATAGCTTCTGAAAACTTCCGCGTCAGGGAAGCGTAGCGGAAGAGCGCAGGCGCGAAGCATGTCGTCTTCAAAGGGCGACGTTAGCCTGTCCGGCGGTCAGCTGGCATCGCCTGGTACTTCTGCCCCAAACCTTATCCCCCCTGGTACACCAGGCACTTCACGCTCTGCGAGGAGACGAGGGGCAGCAAAAGCTCGCGATGGAGGCGGCCCCTCGGCAGCAGCTACGAGTGGATCCAAAAAGGAGAAAGACAAGGCTGTCCACAAGACGTTTGAAGCGTCCCTTAACGGACATGCGTATTTGCCTTACACGATCATCAGGTCTGGGAGCCCATCCTCGCATTCGCCGACATTTTCTCGCGATGGAGAGTGAGTAATATTTCAAATTGGGAGGTGTTCGAATCTCATGTTAACCCGCCGTGCTTTTCCAGGTTCTTCTTCATGCCGACAGGTGCCGCGGTCAAGGTGTATTCGCGTCTGACAGGCGAGGTGGTATCCACACTTTCGATTCCGCAGCGTCCTTCGTCTTCCAGGTCGACGAAGCCTGGTCAGCCATCCACTTCGTCTATGTTCACTGATCTGCGCATCACATGCATCTGTTTGCACCCGCTCAATCCGCTACGTCTAGTCGCTGGCTGTTCAGACGGCAGTATTCGGATCTGGGATTATATGGAAGGGGCTATGCTGCAAACGCTACCCATTGTACCCGGCCTGCACATCAGTCATATTGCTACGGTTGGCGATGCATACTCCGAGAGGAGAGAGGAGATTCTGGAAAGCCTGTCGAAAGAAGAACAAGACAAGCACATGGACCTTCGCCAGTGGGTGTTTGTCGTTCTTCAAAAGAGGAAATTAAAACGCAAGGAGCGAGCCGCAAAGGCCCAAACGCGTACAGAAGCCAGCGCGGAGACTATACAAACAGAGACTAGGGCGGGGGAGAAAATGGAAGGCGAGCAAGATGACGGCGAAGAGCGAGAAAATTCTCTCATATACGCAGTTCATCTGCGATACTCTCTTCAAGCCAACAGAGGGATAGAGCATAATCGCTTAGCTTTGCGCCTCGGCAAGACGCGTGGAGCGGCTGCAGATCTCCAAGCCAGTGCGGATGGCAGATTTTTGGTCTGCATCGGGAACAAGAAACTGCAGATTGCGCTTCTAGAGAAGCTCATGACAGCCAAGTTGGACTCAACTCAGGCCTCGGATGCCCCTGATGCAGCTCAAGAAATGGTTGTGAATGGCGGAGTCAAGGTAGCGTCAACGTCGAACGCAGCTGCCAAGCAACGGAGACCGCGCCAAAAATCAGAATTGCAGGGGCCCGAAGAAGGGTTCATCAAGTTTGCCACCACGTCACACCTGACGTGCTTGGCACTACCTCACGATCCCGAGATGGAGACAGTCGCCACCGGAGACGAGAACGGCGTGATTCGTCTCTGGCACAGCTGCTTGGATGAAGAGATGCTGATGAAGATAGCACGTGACGATGAGGCGATGCGGCAGCTCTCGTCTGCCTCTGTCAACGGAGCGGTCGCAACAGAAGCGACAGACAAGTATCTGGCCAGCAGTACGTTGCACTGGCATGCGCATGCTGTTGCAAGCCTGGCGTGGAGCTACAACGACGCACAGCTTATCAGCGGAGGAGAGGAGGCAGTCCTTGTCATCTGGCAAATTGGAGCAGCCGGAGGTGCGTCGGGCAATCAGACCAAAAAGGAGTTCGTTCCAAGGCTGCGGGCCCCCATTGCCAGTGTTGCAGAGATCAGAGGGTACGAAGGCAGGGACGGAGAGTACCTCGTCACGCTCAAAGATGGCAGCATCGCATTCATCAGTGGAGTTAATCTGAAGCCAAGCCGGACTTTGGCCAGGATCCGGATGGGTGAGTGATCTGCTTTACCTTGTATAGAATGCTTGCTGTTAACTCGGCCTTGCTTCCTCAGACCCCACCCGCTCAATGCTGCCGGAAAGTCAGCGGCGTACCCTTCCGATGCCGCTAGCTGTCGAGCCAGTATCAGGCGCCTTGGTCCTGTCGGGTAGTCACCCTTCGGAGCTGCAGTTCTTCCATCCCTCTAACGATACGCTCGCATATGAGCTCGAGGTCACGCCCTCAAATCGAGTGTCAAGGCCAGACGAGGAGTTCATCGAGCCAATCCGAGTACAACACGTGGCCTTCGCCCCTGCATGCTCGCAACCACAGCATAAAGGGTCCCCCCTGGGCATGAGCCCGTGGATGGCGGTCGTTGACAATCGTCAAGGAGGCGAAGGCGTCTCGCAGGAGATGGCTTTGACTTTCTGGCAAGCGCGACCAGGCAAAAATTCGACAGGCTACAACCTCATTTCTCGCATCCACAAGCCACACGAGAAGGAGCTGACAGCGATGGCATTTTCACCACGCGCCCAGCTGTCAAGCGAAGCTCCTGTTTTGGCGACTTCCAGCTACGATGGAACTGCCCGCATCTGGCAACTCTCCTCTCAGCTTGTCAAGGGCAACAGGCGAGAAGTCTTTTGGTCGCTTAGCTCAGTCTTTTCGTACCGTGGAAACGTTGCGAGAGAAATCTCCTTTTCCCCCGATGGAACCCTTCTTGCTGTTGCCCATGGCACTGCAGTCACAATCTGGGACCTTACGAGCAACGCAATGAGGCTTGCCTTCGTGTTACCGGATGTCAAATCCTTCTATCATGTTTGCATTGGAGGACGCAGAGGGCGCTTCGTGGCAGCCTCAGGGGGCAAGATTGCCATTGTGTGGGATCTAATCACGCAGCAGGTCGTTCTGCGCCATGTCTTCCCCGGCAGTGGTATAATCTCTGGCGTATGGTCGCAGGGCAGTCAGCAGCCTCGTTTCGTCATCGCCCTCGATGAAGTCAGTACAGGGGAGGTTCACTTTGCCACTTACGACCCTCAGCATGCATCGCTGCAAAGTGCTGGCCGCACATCTTTCTCTCTGCGCGCCATTGCACCCCTTGCTTCACGGGAATCTTCGACACCTTCTTTGCGCGCGATCACCGAGAGCTTTGACCTTGTCGACATTGGACCGCAAGCGAACGAGTCCCGCCAGCCCGCGAAGAGCAGGTCACTTCACACAGCGTCTGTATCGAGACGCAGCCTTTTCCAGGACTTGTTTGGTTCAGAAGAAGCGCCGCAGCCCACTCACTCGCTGGGGGTTCCCTCGAATGCCCTTGCTGCAGGCGGTGTTCTCAGTTTATTCACAGCCCCGGCCCACTTGCTTCCGTCTATGGAGAGCATCTTTACGCCTTTCCTGAATGGCATTCTTCCACCAAAGCCTATCTCCGCGAAAGCGGGCACCCCATCAGAAGTCAGCGCAGCTTCACAAGGTCCTGCAGATGAAGTTTCTCCATTGCGTCCAGCACAGCAGCCCCTCTCTGGTAATTCTTTGCAAGTCATCGCTGCGGCCGACTTGACGCTATTGACACGAACGTTCCGCGACGTCCTTTCTATGAGTGCGACTCCGGCGCCAGCTCTTTCGAATGGAAAGGCTGCCAAAGTGAATGTATTGGCTCGAGCCCCAGCGACGCCTTCAACCACAGTGGTTAGCTCTCCAAACACTGCGGCGTCGAAAAACACACCTGGCTGCTCAAACAAGAGTCCCAAGGCGAATGGAAGTGGGAAGAAGCGGAAGGCGGACTAATGTAGCTTATCGGCGATAGTAGGACGCGTTTGGCAGGTCCAGCCGAGTTATGGAGTTTATCAAAATCAGTACAAATTATGAACACAAGATCCTTCCCTGCCAAGAAAGGACGTGGGTGGATCGACGACGGGGAGGAATGCGATGATGATACACTCAAATGATCTGATTTTGCGGCAGCGGCTTAAGGGGGGCAGGAGCGAAGCCCTTGTTTCATGTATGCGACTTGATGCACTCTTGACCATCAAATGGGCTATAGCCATAAGGCTTTTAGCCACCTTGCGGCCCAGTTGTGGTCGTGCAACAAAGGGTCCATGGTCTATGTTACATCGAATCGGGGGTATTCAAATTCCCGGGATCAGTAAAAGGGGGATGACAGTAGTAGTAGAGGAAGGCAATTGTTTGCGGGACTCCCGTGCACAGCGCCACTACTCATCTCCCGAGCGACGAGTCGGCAGTCTGACTTGTTCTGCCCGTGGACACTGGCGCTCAACGCGGCCTGCGGGTTTGAGTTGACAAGCTTAACGACCTCCTGCGGATCGTCAAACTCAACTAAGCTGTGCAAGGGGCCGAACGTCTTGTTGTTCATGATGTCCACATCCGCCTTGACACATGTGAGGCGAAACGACTGCACAAGCGCGCCGTCAAAGCCCGGCGTGCCCACGGCCACTTCAACTTCATTGGCAGTAGTATCGTCGTAAAGGCCCTGTACGCGCTCTCCCGAAATAGGTGCAAAGAACGAACAGATTCTGCTGGACTGAGAGCGATCAGCAACACTCTTGTCTTGCCTGAATTGAGCTTTGACTTTGGCCGTCAACTCAGACGCAATCAACTTGTGTGCGACAATATTGGTGATCAATCTGCAGATATAGCCTGTGTGCAGGTAGACGGCCATGAGTAGATGGTTTGCCACCACGTCCAAGTTCATGTCTTTGAGTATGGTCGTCGGAGCTAGAGTAGAGGCCCACGGGGGGGGGGGGGCTCTTTGCAGGAAATGATGCGGTCAGCTTGACCTTGACGACAGCAGGTGTCAACATACCTTGGCCTCCTAGCGCCATGATCGGAGGCCTGGGTCCTTGCCGCAAGTGGCAGCAAGAATTTTTGCGACGCGCTTCGAGCCTGCAAAGTTGAAAAAGTTGACATCCGTGTGGTAAATGAGTCGCTTAAACACCTCTGCAGCGTCTTTGCGGTCAATGTGAAGGACATTGGGCACGCCGGCCGGCAACCAGCCTCATAGAGTAGATCAGCGACCAAGCTGGGTGTCCTTTGGCTGTACTCTGATGTCTTCATGACCCGCAGCATGTTGCAGCAAAGTTATAGAGTGCCGGACGAAGGCCAAGAGTGAATCTGCACGTGCAAAAGGAAACGGATGACCGTCGTGCGGTCATCAGCGAGAAGGCGCATGAAGGGAGCAAAGTGGCCTCCTTGTAGAACACCATCACGGCGCATTCCAGGAAGTGAAACATAAATCGATAAAGGCGGGCTCGCACGTAAAAATGCTTCGCATAGTGGGCCCGAATGGACCATGTGAGGGATGATCTCGCTGGTGAAGGTGGGGGCCAAGCCGGCAGAGCCTTCTTCGAGGTGCGTGAGTGCGAGGCTGGCCACTGATTGGATCAGGATATTTTGTAAGTTGATGCAACTTCATTTATGGAGACCGGGGCTGCGCTACTCACTGTCAAACGTGGAAACTTTTGGCTCAGGGCATTCCCCTCGATGATGAGCTTTGCGCGCATTTGATGTTGAAGCCTTTGGGGTCCCTGTGCAAGCTGACTGTCTTGTCGAAGTTCAAGCACCTGCCTTGCACGCTAATGTTCGTCCACGCCGAGTGAACCGCTTTGGCAGCATCATTCGCTTCGGCAGCCCCTTTGACTTCGACACTGGAGATTTTGTGCAGGAAGGCCTTGCCTTGCGGGTCGTAGGTACGGATCACATCCTAGGTCTTGCGCGTCGAAAGCGGCTTGTTTGTTGACCAGCGACTCAACCGGTGTTAGTGCCGCGATGTCGGTTGAAGACGCCATATTGGGTTTCCAGTCCTTCGAAGCGCAACCAGAAGTACGTATTTATTGCATGTAGGCAGGATGATGCAGCGAATGGACCGAAAAGAATGGCTAGGTAGCGTCACCTTCGAGTATTTGAATCTTCCCAGGAGGATGATCCGATGATGGTGGGTGGTGCATCTAATGATGTCCAGCGAGCAGGGAGCCGGAGACACTAGCGAGGTACCTCTGTACTGCTGCAGGTCGCCCATGCCGCCATTTCCGACGGAACCCCACCCCCCAAATAGAGCAAATGCTTTGCCACCTCTCCAGAATTGCACACATTGTCCCATACCTCTTCCGATGTCTGACTTGCTGCGCCAGTCCTGACTTCTGGCAACGCACCATTGACAAATAAATTGCTCATCTACAGAATTGGAGGTCACTGTGTTCGAGAGGTCCCAAGCCTATAACAGGACATTTGCGAGGAAGGCCACTCGAGCACCTTTCTCCACCGGCCCCGAAGCTGAGCCTCACGCAGCACATGCGCATGCTCGAAACGTGCAGCATTGCAGATTACGAGGAGTGCAAGCTGCCTCTCTGTCTTATGCAGAGCGAGATCCTACTCAAAGTACAGAGTACGTTACTGAGCAAGGCACCGTCTGGTCGGTGGAGAAAGGTGCTCCTTGACAGTATTTGCCTAGCCCACCCCAAGCACAGCTCACTGTACGCGCATCCATCATATGAGCAATATGCGCTCCTAGTGCTGCGCATCGGCAATGCATGACACTCACATTCTAGCAGATGTTGGCTTTCTTTGCATATAATTCCATACTATGGACTACGCAAAGCGTGGTACTTTCGGCACACCTTCGGCTTGGAGGGACTGCAGAATCGTGCTTGCAAGCAGGTTCATCCCCGCCTTTACTGAGTCAACAACATACACCTTTTCTCGCATTCCAGCCTTGATTGCCGCATACTGGACCTTCTCAGTCATGTCATCCATGCCTGAACGAGCGACAGACCCCTCACTGTCAGTTGACCGCAAGAAGTTCACATCGCTGCAGTTCCATTCACACTTACCGCTACACCCGAGCACCAGCACCTGTGCTCCGTCCTCGACGAGCTCCTGCGCGACTCTCTGCACTTTGGGCGTGATGTCAGCTTTCGGAAGGGTCTTGAGTTGGATGGCAGTGATCCCGCACGCTCTGGTTCCAACGTATCTGCTGCTCTTGGCGGATCCCAGGACGCTAGCGATCCCCATCTCGATGTCTGGAACGAGATCTTCAGTCGTGGTGATGACGCCGAAGCTTACGCCGAATGTCAAGGACTGGATAACGGCAGCCTCGAGTATATTCATCACCGGTCGCGCGCGGCCTTGGGGACTGCGTTCCCGGCGGCGCAGCACGGAGGTCAGCGGGTGATCGGAGAAACAAGCGATGAGGATGGCGTCGCAGGTGTGCAGGCAGGGGTTATCCTTCTCCACCAAGTGGTTCCATACCACATCAGCCGAGAGCTGCTCGTCTGCGACATTGTTGATTGACTCAGGCGCATCCGACGGGGCCGTGTAGAAGCGAAAGTCGACGGCGGGATAGTATGGAGCGCGTTCGAGCATGCTATCTGTCATGAGCTGTGCATCTCGGCGGCCGTGTAGGTCAGACACACACTCGAAAGATAGCCAATACTCTTCCGACATCCTCACCTTGGACGAGTTGGGGTTGATGACGAGCACCGTTAACTCCTCCATGCCGCCCTCATCGAGTGTCGACCGTGGCAGGGGCATGTTGTGGCCCGCCCTCTGATTGGCTTCCCTGAGGACTGGGCAGTGCCGTGTGTAGCAGATACTGATGTTTCCAGGTATCGGTGCATCTGCACTGATAAACTGCAGCGTCGTTCGTCGTCGTCGTAGTATCACCATACTGATGCGGCATGAGGAAACGAACATTACATAGTTATTAGGATCTGATAAGGAAAGTCCATCCGTACCAGCTGGAACCCGGAACCCGGACTCGTTTCCGTGCGCCGGATCTGCGAGCATCGGATCGCCGTCCGTCGTTCCGTCATTGGAGTTCTTTATCAGGTCGGAGGCGCTGCTAAAGCCAAAGAAAGTGCGCGCGCTGCGTAATCTTATCGGTCACATTTGATTTTTCGTTCACCGGACTATGGAAATAACGTTGCTCGCGATGAAGTAGGAAAGACAAGTTCTGTGTCGGCGGTGATGGTCGTACTTTGATTATGGTTAATAGGCACGGCAGCCAACTCCATCTCGTCCGTCGTCTTGCGTTCTTCGCTGCTGGCGGGCGCGGTGCTTTCACAATCCCAATCCCAATCGTAGCCACACCCCTACCATCATCATCCATCGCCAGCAGAGGTGTCCATAACGTTTTTCACACCAGCAAGTCAGAAGAATCCCCCACGTAGCCACTCGAGCAAGGCATCCAGGCAAAAAGAGCTACACGCAGATCCCATCCTTGATAAGTTTCTCCCTCTGCAGTCGTCGTGGGACGGAGGAGAAAGGGGATACAAGAAGCGCTACCTCGACCACGCTCAGGATTGGGAGCCCCGCATTCGTTCTTCATCAATCGCCCATCACCTCACATACCCTTTGCCCTGCTTCCATCAACTGCAATTGCAATCATGACCTCAAGAGTAGCCAATTTCCTTCAGGTCCGTGACGCGCCCGGCCCGGAAGTCTCGACGTCGACCGCCTTGCTCACCAATCCCGATCTCGCGCCCGTGCAACCTGAGAGACGAAAATGGTGCGTCTTGTCATAGCGTATTGATGATGAGTCGGTCCTATCTGGAAAGGCGCTAATCGCAGCGTCCGTTGTTCTGCGTTCTCAGGAAAGCGCATTCGTTTTTCTTTTTCTGGTTCAGTGACGGGTGCAACATCAACAGTAAGCGGTTCAACTATTGTCCAATGTGGAGGGGATAAGGCTGGTCTGACAGTCCCATCTCTCTGCAACTGCAGCTTGGCAGATCGCTGCCACCTCGATCATCGCCGGCCTCTCGTGGTGGCAGGCCTGGCTCGCGGTCATCGTCGGATACGGCCTTGTGGCTGCATTTGTCGTCATGAACTCGCGTGCCGCTTCCGTTTATCACGTTGGCTTCCCCGTCATTTCCCGCTCCAGCTTCGGACTTTGGGGCTCTTTCTGGCCCGTCCTGCAGCGTGCTGTAATGGCATGCATCTGGCAAGGCGTACAAGCGTACATCGGTGGCCAATGTGTCGCGTTGTGCATACGCTCCATCTGGCCATCCTACGCCAACCTGCCCAACCACATTTCACAGTCTAGCACCACCTCCCAAGGAGTCCTCTCCTTTGCTATCTTCAACATTATCAACTTTGCAGCCCTGTGGCCAGACCCGCAGCAGATCCGCCATCTGTTCACCGTCAAGGCTATTGTAGCACCCATTGCCGTCCTTGCTTTCCTCATTTGGACGCTGGTCGAAGCCAAGGGCGCCGGACAGGTGCTCACAGCTCCCTCCAAGCTTCACGGCTCGAACCTCGCCTGGACCTGGATCGCGGCCGCCATGAGCTGCGTCTCGAATATGGCGACGCTGACCGTCAATATCCCTGACTTTGCGCGTATGGCCGACAAGCAGAGCTCGACATTCCTTCCGCAGCTCATGGGCATTCCATTTACCTTTGGGATCACCTCACTTGTCGGAATTATCATCTCTTCTGCTAGCGAAGTCATTTACGGTGAAGTGCAGTGGAGCCCCCTCGCTGTGCTCAAGCTCAAGCTCGATGCGGATCCGTACAACAGCCAGAATCGTGCGGGCGTCTTCTTCATCGCCGCCGCGTTTGTCGTCATGCAGCTCGGAACGAACATTGCCGCCAATAGCTTGAGCGCCGGAAGTGACTTGACTGCTTTGCTTCCGCGGTATATCAACATCCGCCGTGGGAGCATCATCGCTTGGGCCATCGGCTTTAGCTATTGCCCTTGGATCATCCTCAGCTCTTCATCAAAGTGAGTCGCGCGATGTGGCTCTATCAAATTCATACAGCTTCCTTTACAAGCCTTTCTTGGGCTTGCAGCTTTGCCACCTACCTCTCCTCGTTCTCTGTGTTCCTCAGCTCGATCGCGGCGGTCATGGTGGCAGACTACTGGGTGATCAGGCGCGGACGGCTTGATGTCACGTCCCTCTACACGGCTGAACTCGACGGCAAGCACTCTCTATACTATTATACGGCGGGTATCAACTGGCGAGCCTATGCCGCTTACCTCATCGGCCTCAGCGCCAACATGGCAGGTTTCGTCGGTGTTGTTCGCGGAAAGTTCATCTCGACTGCTTCGCAGCATATGTACACACTCGCCTTTATCGCCGGTTTCAGCATCTCTTTTGTCTGCTACATCGTCATTAATTACTTCTTCCCGGTCGAGGACGCCGTCCCAATCACGCAAAAGGGCTGGTACGAGCCCGTGCCGTGCTGGGAGTCGGACGACTGGAGCACCCCAATTTACGCCATACGCAACGCGGAGCGTTCGGCGCAGAGCAGCATCACCCACGAGAAGGCGGCCGAAAAGGACAAGTCCAACCAGGCCGTCCCTGCAGTGACAGATCTGCAATACTGATTCGGGAACGATCACCACCGCACGCGAGCTAGATATCAAATACCCGACACGAAGACACATCAGTGCGATCAATAGAATGTACATTGTTGTACTCGTATTAAATCACCCATATGGCTTATTGGAACACTCCTATGAGCTCTTTTGATGGCGTCAAGTTCCTCTCTTAGGTCAGTCGTGGTCATTCCGTCTCCAGCATCGCGTGATCCGATCCGAGTTTTCAATTTATGCGTGGATCCGCGGGCTAAGCATTTCGGTGAGTCTGAAGTAGTGGGCGAAAACTGCGTGCTAGCTTCTGTTGTAGGATAAGACGAGCTTTGAGCCAGCACAGCCTACAAGGCAGTGTCTGAATGCCAAGCAATTGTGCTGATTGCGTCGCTCCTGCGAATTTCGGCATATGGCTACACAGTTCAAATATGTTTGGTCGCTCGACCTGCAAAAGCGTGTGCATCTTTCAAAACCCCCAATTCTCACTTGTTCATGGCTTTTTCATTCACATTACCAGATGCTATTTCTCTTTTGACTTTGAGTGTCTTTGACACGGCTCCGACGTTGTAAGGAATGTACGCTTGGACAAGTTCAACAAATGCTTGCCCTGCACAGGTTTGGACCATTAAATGCCCCTTCATCTCGCCGTGGGGGCCTTTGACACCTCCGAGCAGTTCATCGTCGAGTTCGGTAGCGCTTCTCCCTCGCTCAAATCAAACGAGCTCGAAAGCAACTGGAAATCACTCTTGGCTTTCGTTTGATTCCTCCAAGCGGCATCTGTATGCGCCTTGCTGGACGAACCATCCACCGGTCCCTGCATACGCAGTCGATCCTTTTGGTGGATTCAACTAGATCAACACTACGAGAACATGGCCACAAGCGGATACGTCAAAGAGTACGCAGTGTGCGACAAACACTATCTCATCTCCATCAATGGTCCGTCAGTAGCGACATGTCGCTTAAACGAAAGTCTGGAGATTTTGTAGACCAAGCAGAAAGGGCCACTTCGAATGAATTCACGCACCTCCAAGATCTCGACGTTGTCACCCGGCGATTGTTGAATGCGGGCATCGGACGGCAATACTTCCTTTGTTCTCACCAGGCTTGCGAACAACAAGACTTCTCTGCAGGCGACTTTGGCGGGCGGGTTCTGCCATGCAGCGCATGGTGTCGAATTCTCTCCGGTCACGGATATTGCCTAGGTGCCAGACATCGGCCACAACTGCATATGGATCTACCCCGTGTGTGGATCGGATGGCTTCATGAACTTTTGCAAAAGTGCCCTGCGCCGAGAGCGAATGACGGGCCCCGTCATACGTGGAGTCACCCAAACGGTGTGGTCATATATATTCGGTGGAGACGCACACTAGCATCGGGGACGTCTTTGAGCTCGTCGGCGAGGGGGATAAAAAACTGCGGTGGGGCTAGGCAGGGCAGATCTTTCCTCCGGAGCACGATGCTGCGGACTTCGGGGTAGATAAATGCGCTTATCACCAGGTCCGCACCTGTCGTTTCTTATCGCTTCCACCCATTGTCTCGGTCCAAAAATGAAGAGTTTTGTGGTAATCTACGAAGTTGATCCAGCAGGGCGCTTGAAGGTAGCGGGCACGGATATGGCAAACTTCAAAGGGTGCCTCTACCAATGTCTGGCAGACCCCCACGTCGGGCGGCCTGGCGAATACTGTCGAGCCAAGGAGCAATCACTTGAACGGGGGCTGCCACATCGCACTGGCGGACAGTACGCAAGGCGTCTTGTCGATGTTAGTGATGGGTGAGACGGGCTATGCGGCAAAGATCAAAGAGGTGACAAGGCTGCAATTGGACGAGACTGACAATCAGAACTTCGAGGGACGTTCATATGGCTGGAACTTTGGCGTGCAGGCCTCAGCGGGGGCGCTGCCAAAATGTATACCCAGAGGTAATAGAAAAATCGCTTGTGTTCGCAGCCTAATGTGCTGATGACCGGCTGTTCACCGTTTTCGAGAGTTGGGCCTGCTTTCCAAGGACCTTACATCAAATTATATGAGTCCGTCTCGCATTCCAAATGGTGTAATTGACCAAATGATTGTTTCCGCAACGGGACTTGCTGCCGTGGAGCAATAGAACAAAAAGCGGGTCGTGGGGATACGCAAATCAACACATCCGGCGAAGCAGGTACAACGCGTGACGGGGAGTCATGGACCCGAGTGGCAAGGCGAGCCAAGTGCAAGGAGGAAGGGCCGTGCCATCGTTCGGCGCGGGCAACCCAGCCATTTTGCAAGGTCAGCTACAAGCGCCCGCAGCAGCAAAGGCGCCTTCGCACATGGTGACACTATACAGGCATCGCAAGTTTGGCGCTAGAAAGGGACGAACAAGAACTGCGAAGGGCTGTCAATATGCATGGTTAATCCCGATCCGCCTTCAGGTTGCAGAGGCTCTTGAACATGTTGAGCTCCGCCGCTTTGGATTCCTGCGCCCGTGCTTCCCAATCATTGCTTATGAGAGTAAACTGCTGTAGTGCCTTGCCAGCCGCTCCGCATTTTCTGTCAGGCAGCCACCAACGGGCTGTCCCGCGTTTTGGTTCATCACTCATTTCACCTCCCGATGAGGAACCACATCAAATACAGAGCCAGGTATTCACTCGTAGCGATGCAACGAGAGCTTTGGATGTAAATTCGGCATATTCCTGCATGCTGATGTCGCTGCATGTATGAGCCAATAGGAGGCAGAATCGCTCCTGTCCCTCACAAGGGACCGTCGACTCTGCTGTCGTTCGAGCCTGGCACACTTCAACCATGACGACCTCGACGCTGCAGCAGCAAACGACCATTGACAGCTCCGGGAATGGCGAGCACATCGCTGTGCGACAGGTTCGAAGACGCGAGCGTGTTCCCAAGAGTTGCATACCGTGCTTGACCGCCAAGCGAAAATGCGACCGAGGGCAGCCAGAGTGCGCTCGCTGCCAAAAGAGTCTCACCACCCACTGTCACTACGACAGCCGACTCGGGCGGATTCAGGCTCGCTCAGCTGGCAAGGCAGGGCGGCTCGCCGCCTCCGAGCGTGGTAGCTGCGCCTTTCAGAAGCAGCCATCTACTGACAGCGTAACCAACGCCAGCAACTCGGAAGCGGAGAGCGAGGATGAGCATTCGTCAGAAACCCTGCCCAGCGGCGCCCCAGCGCCTGATCAATGGGCTTCGCATGTGCCACTCTCTCCGCCCCTCGGCAGCCTCACTCAGCCACTGGATGGCGGCTCGAGGTCCTCCGATTCACCGCCACTTAAAAAGATCCGCCTGGGAGGCGATCCGGCTGACCAGTTGTTCGCAATGCACCGACAGCTGTCGGACTCGCAGGCACAGGTGGCACACCTGAGCCAACTTTTAGCCCTCCAGCGCTCAGGATCAGCAGCTGCAGCTTCGGAACAGCATGCCAACAAATTTAGGTCCAGCTTGGACATACCAAAGAGCGCGACCACAGCTCCGGTTGATAGCCACACCATTGCTGCTCAAGCTCTGTCCTCTTTAAGTCAAGACTTTGGCTTGGCGAACAGCAAAAGTGATCGAAACGCCCGAGCTATGCGAGCCTTTTCACTGCGTTCCAATAATCCACCGACCAAGCGATGTGCTGTCCAAGATGTTGAGACCCACACTGAGCCCTTTGCGCGTATATATCCTCGCGCCGAAGCTCACGCGTCTCGTGCAGTGAGCGGCGGTCAGACAGCAGCGGGGTCCCCTCGCATATCCTCCGCTTCAACATCTACTCACTATGGCTACGGCTCGGCACACATGGGAACACTCTCAACGATTAACGCGACGACCACTGCGTCTCGTGTCACCTCTGTCAGCACTGTCACTAATGGGAACGGCCAGGCAATGTACTTTGGCGATGGGGCTGCAGGTGTGGACGTGCTCGAGACAGTGAGTGGTGACTGGCTCTTGTTACTTGTGTGAATTGCTGACCACTCGACATTGTGCTCTTCAGGTGTCCTCACACCGAAGAGCCCAGGCGTTGAGCGGAGCCGGAGGCAAGGCGCCTGTCCGCGTCGATTCGCAAGGGCAGCCAGGCGTAGATGCCATTCGTCGCGACCTACAGGACGCATTTACTGTGTTTCTGCACACAGAGCACGAGGCCTTTCCCTTTTACACTACCTGGAGCTCGGACCCGGCCGTCTTTGTCGAAGAGGTCTCGCCGCTTTTCCATTCTCCAAGCGAAAACATCGATGACTTGCATTCATTTACTCAGTCATTCGCCTGTCGCTGGCCTGCGCTTGGAGGCGATGCATTCATTCTCCGAGCGCAGAGATTCTTCAACATGCCTATCAAGGAAAAACTTCGGACTCCGCTGCCGATGATTGCCGAGTACCTCATGGTCATTGCTCTTGGGCAGCATTGTGATCTTGACAATCCCCAACTCGGGGCATTCCACGCATCGCAGATTCAAACTCGTACCGACGGCGCAGATGGCCGCAAGCACTCGTCGAGGTCGCCATTCCACTTGACGGACACCCATCTGTCGGCAACGTATCAAGCCCTACGGCTTTGTTCGTTCCTCAGCTCTCCATCCCTCGAAACGATCCATGCCCAGCTGCTGATCGGTGTCTACCTGCGGAACACGGAGCGCTCTTCTTCTTTCTGGCCGCTTCTGGGCAGCATCGCTCGACAAGCGCAGTCGATCGGGCTTCACGTCGATCCCAGCAAGTTTCGGACGCCGCTGAGTGAAGAGGAGAAGCAGCTGCGTCGGCTTCTCTGGTGGGCTATCGTCATTCAGGATGCTCAGCTCTCCGGCGTGTTTGGCCGGCCGCTTGCGATCACACACTTTTCCACTCGCATTGGGGAGGCGGAGGGTCTGGCCACGTCCCACCACGAAGTGCAGTGTGAACTAGCTAGGCTGGCACGAAAGCGCCTTGACGAGTCGCAAATTGTCGACTGGACGGCGGAGCAACTCGATGTATGGACGACAAACGCACTGGACTGGTATGCGACCTTGCCGGATTGCTTGCGGCTCGATTTTTCATCCGATGCGCTCGCGGATGAAGCCCCGCGTCAGTCAGCTGAAGTAGAAAAGCGGCTCTTGAGCTCCACGTGTCCGTCCAGAGGCTTGAAGGCCATGCAACAAGCTTGCGACCTCGCAATGGACTTCTCTGCAGAACTCATCTTCGCCCACCGCCCTCGTTTGCACGAATCTCTTGCCAGCACTCAAAGTCCGAGCGGTCGAGCGGCCAAGTCTGTTTGTGCGTATGCGATCCGCGGCATCCGCATCGCACTTTATCTCATGGTAGAGCATCTCGGACCGCTGCGGACTTCGCTTGTCTGGCGGACTATCTACATTTCTTTTCAGGCGGCTGTGAGTACGCTCGTTGATGACTTAATTGTCCTTCGACTGACGTCTACGTTTAGGCCACGGCTGCGTTCATCTGCTTGATGTTTCCATTCGATGAGCGTTCCAAAGAGAATTTTGAAGGACTCTGCGAAATCACGTCTCTCACTGACAAGGCTCCAAATCGTTGGGGCGAACTAGTTAAAGTCAAGCGTGCCCTCAATATATTGCAGCGGCTAACCAGGTGGGTTATACGTTGCGTTTCGCTTTGATTTCTTCCTTGAACGCCACTAATACATGTCTCGTGACCTCTATAGCGCACGCATGGAAAGCTTACGAGAACTGCCCGATATGCAAGTCCCTCCCAATAATAGTTCCGATAGCGGGCTGAAAAATGCGGCTGCCCTAGTCGCTGTTCGTACCGACTCTGACTTGCATCAGAGTAGCGCCGATCCTACCCCGGCGCCAAGCTTTGATCCTGGAGACGTCCTCAGCAGCGAGAATCCCTCGTTCGAGCCGCCGTTTAAATTTTTGGACATGTCTGCACCCACGCCCGGTTCGCAGCTTAATCCTCCGCCAGCAAATCTGCCAGAGAGTGAAGTCGTCGCTTGGTGGTCCGAATTCTTTTCGATCCCGTTCAACGTCAACGATATCTTTGGTGCGGAAGGCGGAGGGAATGCTTGAAAGTTGAGGCCGCATCAATCGTATCCTCTCGATTCTTGGTGTGCAATGTTTTGCTGGAGTGTGACGAGCCGAAACAACGCTGGCGTGCGTTGGTATCAGTGGCGACCTCGACAACGCTGGGAAATGATGTGCTGCTCAGGATGAATTGGTAACTCTATTCAATCTCGAATGTACGCTGCGTCAGTGTTCACTTTGGATTTAGGATTAGGGTGGGGGAACGTGATGCAGGGAAAGGGACGCGAAGGGGTTCTGTGGGATCTGGGTCTGGGCGGCTGCTCTCTAGATCTGTCCAATCGATTGTCTCAGAGCGTTGATTTGTCCTCCATCTGCTCAACGCTACAAAACCCAAAAATAACCCCTAATACCTCTCATTGACCGTTGAAAACTTTGAATGCTTTGGTTGAAACCCGCGTGTCCGTCATGCACACCGCGTGAGCGCTTCCAACTCTGCGAGATCTGGGGGAGAGGGGGGGGAGAAGGAAGAATATGAGGTGAGTGATGAAACGTCACACAAATCACCAGCGGACCTTTGCTCTCGAGCAGGGCGCGTCTTTCGCGCGAGTAGTCGAGATGAGCTCCAGCGGGCTTCTTCTGAAAAGTAACCTATCCACCCCGTCACTCTGAAAAGGTGCACAAGCACGCTGCATGGCCTCCATACGGTCGACCCCGCGGATGGACGAGCGAAGGAGATGAAAAGGAAAATGGTTACTCTTCTGTTGCTGCGGCATCAGATGCTGATAGCGACCCATTCGAGTGTGATGCCCCGCAGTGACACAGCTGCGATTGCATACAATTCTCGTCGTCCGCTAGTTCTTGGGTCCGCCCATATCATGTACCAACCCGCCAGTCTCTCTCTCTTGCTAGAAGGCCTCTCCTTCTTCTCCTACCTCTTCCTTTCCCCAGGAGTGCATTGTCTACCCTCACGCTTAAGCGCGCGCTATTTTGGTCCGTTGTGTCTGCCTAAAGGAGAAGCGCAGCTCGACCAGCTGTGGGGAAATGAGGCCAAAAGTCTTTCTCGTATGCACATTATTTGGCCAACATGCGCGTACACCCCCTACGACCTCCTCAAGCCGTGTTTCGCGGTACAACCGCCTTTGCGAGCGTCGCATATCGTACGTAACCTGGCCCGTGTATAGTCTCTCATGTTCAAATTCTGAACAGTTCTCAAAACCTCACCACTCCATCGTCTGACGATCACTAACAAGATGGTGGAAAGCAAATGAACTCTGAAGCTCCTTCTCTGGGTGATCTTTTGTCAGATATTCAGTCTCATTGAGACAGCTACCACGGAAATGGTCGGGAAGTTGGGTGGTGTGCAGTCCGAAATCATCCCCCAGGAGATCGACTGGGTAGATTAAAAAGGCGAGGCGTCACAGCCCAGAACCAACGGCAAGCCACATGCTCTTCAAGTCAAGGTTATTCGAGATTGAGATGAAGAGCCGTAGAATCAGTTGGTGCGAGTTGGACGTCAGCAGCAATGGATAGCCCACCCATCTCCAGGCACTTCATTCCCTGTTGATTGGCGTCCCAAAAATTGATCCTGTCAAGAGAAGATTGGGTATGTCGCACTCAATTCCAAACAAAAGACACTCACTGTACCTAGTACTGACGCGCATGCCTGTTGAACGACTAACTGGTCCCACTTGACGAACAGTGGCACCACCTCGTCGGGATCATTTCATTTCTTGTACTTATTTGCATTGTAGATACTTTAATTTTTAAGGTCGAGCTTGTGTCACGGCCCGGGAAACAGGTTTTCCTTTCCATCTGGCGCACGAAACCGCATATGCTTGTGCATGATCGTTGGGAGTTGTGAAAGTATATCGCCGGCTTGAGGAAAGGAAGTGTTGCAGGCTTTTGGTAGAATGCGAAGAAGCCATGAGGGAGAACACTTTCTAATTGTGGTACACGAAACAACTTTAACGCAAGAGGTGAGCTCGGAAAAGTGTCTGTCGCCTAACAGCAACAAGACTATTCGTTCAACAGGTGAGATAGGACAGGAGACTCGCAGGGGATAGCAGTACTGTTCCCCGCGCAGCTGCTGACGGGAGCAAAAATAAGGGACACCCCACGTGGACACGAAAGCGTACATGCTACCATGCCGACACGCATGGAAGAATGCCGACACGCATGGAAGACAGACGTGGTAGGCACTGGTGCTTTGTAGGTGTCGGAGGCTCCGATGTGGCTCTGACTGTGGCGTTGTAGGGTCGGGCGTTGTCGTTCCTGAATATATCCTGCAAACGCCGGTTGGATGGTTCCTGAAATCAGGCACATGAGACACGTGTGGCGGGACATTTATGACTTTCCTTTGAAAACCGCCGGCAATGAAAAAGCGAGGCAGGCTCATTTTCACGAAGCTCTATTGTGGTGCACATGACATGTATCCTGTTATCTCGTTTGACAGGCCACCAAGGGAGTAGTATGACGTGGGGAACTTGGCTCCACGCTGACCAGTCCTCCTGCTTCTCTCAAGCCGCTCCAGGCTTACCTGGGACGAATAAAAGGAGCAGGCGACGAGCCCTGATCTTCCCCATTCCCTCTTTTCTTCAGGCAGGTCCTCATCTCCGCTTTACCCACAACTTTTTTTTTCCAAAGATTCATTCAAGTGGTCAACCTGCTTCCGTGCACATCTTGTTTCCTCATCAACCTCACGTTTAGGATAAGACAAGCGAGTCAATCACATCTGGTCTTTCTCGCTCACTTTGCACCGTCTTCTCTTTCTCGCCTTTTCTTCTGAACCATCCAACACTATGAAGCTCTGTGTCCTATTCGCACTGGCCATTGCCGTTCCTGGTGAGCCATGCCATTCCTTGCGTGACTCAGGCAGGGCCACATTATGCATATCCACTGAATACTCTTATTTTCTTTCCCCTTACTCTCAATAGCCGCTCTGGCTGCCCCAATCCCGGTGAATGAATCAGTCGGCTCTACGCCGGCTTCGCTCCACGTCGAAAAGCGACTTATTAAGGGTTGTTTCCGTGGCTGTGCCGGAGGATCCGCGCGTCCTCGCCCTTCGCAACCCCAGGCGCCCTCAAGCCCGGCCCCTCCCTCTAGTAATCCAGCCGGGGGAGCACCCGCCAGAGAGAGACCAGACCAGCCCTACCCTCTCCCTGTCCCTCTCTCTAGTACTCCAGCCGGAGGAGCACCCGCCGGAGGGAGACCACAACAGGCCCAACCCCTCCCTGCCCCTCCCTCTAGGTCTCCAGCCGGGGGAGCACCCGCCGGAGGGAGACCACAACAGGCCCAACCCCTCCCTGCCCCTCCCTCTAGGCCTCCAGCCGGGGGAGCACCAGCCGGAGGGAGACCACAACAGGCCCAACCCCTCCCTGCCACTCCCTCTATTAACCCTGCCAGAGGAACACAACGGGGCCACCCCCTCCCTGCCCCTCCAGCCCCAGACTCACCAGTCAACAGGCCCGAAAGCCTCGCCCCAGTGGAGCCCGAGCCCCGGGCGATCTGATGTCTCTTTCACTAACATTTATTTCTAATTGAAAGAAAGACTGCAAAGCAATCGTTGGTCCGCGCGGCACGTATTGCTTGGAGTCTCTGGTACGCTCACTTACTGGAGAAGGTGACACAGGGGTATCAGCGTGACACAAGTCAAAAGGCACAACTCGAGAAAGCCTATATTCTCTGCTTCGTCTAGAATCAATGCCTTTTTCATTACACCGATGGCTCAATCTCTGCATAAATAGCTTTTGACAAAGGAAATGATGCAGCGACAAGGGGGTGACGAGAACACCGGTACTCTTTGTCAGGTTAAGGCTAGGGGTAGAGATAGGGAAGCAGGTATCATGCGTCTGAAACGACGATGGACTGTTGCTGACAGTGCCGCGTGCAGACAATAGCGCATCGCCCGATACAAAACCACATCCAACTACTTGGTCATTGGCGGTTATTCTGATCGCCCCACGCGGCTGCACGGACGGCTGGGCATAGCAGTCAGCAGGATCATCCGCCATGAGGACATGCCCGGTGTTTACCTAGTGCTGCTCGTCGCCGATGCCTCTTCACGCGCCGTTTGCAGAATTATTTCACGAAGGCTAGTTCGGCGTCATCCACCGTCCTTTCAGCATTAGATGCCCCTTGCTGTCATCATCAGTACACGTTTTACTATCATTGCAGTGTTATCACCAATACAGCTGATGCTATCCTGTCTCAGCCATGTCCTAAGTTCTCATGCGCTCCTCTATCACGGCCGTTGAATAGGTACTGGCAATGTTGATAAATTTGGCTCGTGCCAAGCTTTTCCATTGCTCCAATGTCATATTCTGCTTGATACACGCAGTACTTCCTCCATTGGCGCATTTTCAGTCAATCGGTAAACGGTCGAAGTGTGAGCTTTGCTCTCACGCTCTCACGCCTGCATATAAACGTTGATTGCCCTGCATGAGACAGGTCAAGCCAGATGACAATCGCAGTCGACGTTACCTGTTTCACATCTCCCCGCTCGTTTGTAACGCTGAGGACGGCATATTTCGCTGAGGCGATCCAGCGAGGAGATTCATTATAAGGCCACCTCTCAAGCAACTCACTAATCCCGCCCCACAGTTCTCCATGCCGCGGCTAGCAATCTTCTAGTAGCGGCTCTTCACCCCAAAGGTAGCGGGGGTATCGATCTGACCAGCGAGCCGTATCAGGCCTCCTGGCAAAAGGCCATTCAGACACTACGGGGCAATAAAGTGCAGCTGCAGGCTTGTGAACACGTTGAGAAACTGGAGAGTTGTCGTGAAAAGATTCGAGAGTTAGATATTAGCAGGGCTGGAGAAAGTAATATCTCTCTCTTGCTGACAGAGTACGGATTGTTAGAAGGAACAACCTGCTGACCGTTTTAACGATACAGACCTATCGGTGCAAGATGCCGCCGATCTTGTAGGCACGCCGTTCGTGGACATGAGCTTTGATTGGGACCTCGATTGCCTGAGCACTGATTTCTTTCTGGATCCGAAGCCTGTGTATTGAGTTGCTTATTGATTAGAGGAATAAAATCGAGACTTAAAGTTGTTTCGATTATAGAATGGGGCATTTTGGGGCCGTGTGGACGCTTGGTGAAGCGACCCGATACAGCTCCTCGTCGATCCCGGATATAATTAGAACTGGGCAAGCGCGAAGTTACGACATTCGTCGTCTAAAGACTGGGGTCTTCTCAACCTAGTCTTCAAGACGAGCTTATCTCTTGGACACAGTTTTCCAGAAGCTAGCTGCATCCAGAAGACACGCTCTTTCAGAAGAAATTGTCTTCCGGAAAACAATTTCAAGAATACTGCTAGTTCTCCTAATCTTGAAATAATATCATCCTTCATTATGGCTGTCAAACCATCCAAAAGAAGAAGCGAAAGGTTGAGCAGACGGGACTCTACCTTGATTCACAAGGCCGACGAGCTAGCAGAGTTCTGCGATGTTGACGTAGCCCTCATCATCCGTAATCGTCAGACTGGTCGTTACTTCACGTACAATTTTGTCGATCTCGCGTCCTGGCCACTGTCCAAAGAGCAGATTGCAAGTCACTGCCTGCCCCATACTTCTGAAGGTCGTGATAGCTTAGCTAACGGGGAGTTAGCAACTGTCATACCGGTACCGGTGAACCTGGTTCCGTACAATCTAAAAGCGAGGCGTAGGAATTCCAAACCCCTTTCCAGACTAGAGCAGCTGGAGCAAAATACCAGTAGAGGGGCTATTAGACAAGAGACACCTGGGCCATGACGAGAATAACGTAGCTACTTGGCCTCACAAATTTCCTGCAAACAGTTGAGGAGATAAGGTAAACGCCAAACAGCGTCAGCTAAGAGAACATGATAAGCTGCTTTTATTCACTTATATAAACGATAGAGCTTATTTTTACATTGCCATTATAATTCCCCTACTTTCTTGGCCCACTCTCCAACAATGCCAATAACGCATCAGCAAAGACCTCGGAATCATACATATACGAGATATGGCCTCCGGGGAGCCGCACCACCTCCTTTCCAAGCATGCCAGCAAGCAGTGCGATTGGCCCAACTCCAGGCCCATCCCCAGACGTACTCCCAGCAACAGGGATATACTTTGCCTTCTCGGCTGCGATACGCTCCACATCTAGCGCGGCAGATGTGTACTGGCGCAGCTCAAACTCAAACCAGAACATAGAGTTTGCGCGGATCTCGTCTCCGCGTGTAGGATCCATGCAGAATCTCATCCTCGCACCGTCGTCCCCTGCTGATAAGCCGCCGGAGAAAACCTCCATGGCTGCCTGCACGCCCTGCTCGCGGTAAAGGTTGTAGATATGCTCGACGAGGCCGGCGGCTTGAGTACGGAACTGCTCAGGCAGCAGCGCAAATGCCGGAGGCTCATGGGCGACAAGAGTACGCACTCGGTCCGGGTGTTGTATCAGTAGCTGTGTGGCAACGATAGCACCGGAAGATGTCCCAAATACGGCGGCGGGTTCGGTAGAGAGGTGGGTGATTAAGGCACTGGCGTCATCGGCATCAACTGAGAGTCGATTCTTGAAATCTTGTGCGCCAACGTGCTGACTCTGAGAGTAGCCCCAGCGGTCGTAACACACGACTGTGAAGCTGCGTGAGAGGTGCTTGGCGACGTCGTGGAAGACAGCTCCACGGCCGTCTGCACCGGGGATGCAAAGCAGCAACGGCCAGTACCGAAAATCTCGTAGTGCAATTTTGCATTTGGGAGGTCGATGAAAGGCATGGTTGGAGATAGGGATGTGAAATGAGGCAACGTAGTGGAAGTAGATAGAGTGAAGGCAAGTGTTGGTTTCTCTCGGGGTGATATCACGATATGTGGTGAACACGAAGTTACTAGAATAAAACGATTGTTTGATGCATGCTCCCTTTAAGAGGGAGCAACTACTCTGTTA